ACTGCTAAGCTGCTTTGCTTAGAGAGGACGCTAGTGAATGCAATTGAGTACACACCCGTGAAGAATCGGACTTACTGCTGCTTGTCAGCAGCAGAATTCAGCTTTCCTCCAGTCCCTCCATGCTAACAGTACACATGAGGACAGGGTGGCTCTCCCCTGTGAAGTACACTCATGTACTTCTGTTTCATGTGAGATCACCGTGGTCTTTGGACTCACGACTTGCACAAATGTGTCGTGTGTGGAAGCAGGTGACAGAGTTGCTCTGTCTAAAATCAGACCACTTCTGCTGCTCCTTGTAAGTGCAGAAGTGGCGCCACCTCGCAGCTTGCTCACTGAGTATCTTTGGAGTTGTCACCCTCTGGGCTGCTGGTCATCGTTTATCTGGAAGAAGCCATCCTCTGGGTCCAGAAAGTCCCAGCTGTGCTCTCTTCCGAGAGCTCTGCTGAAAGCTGGCAGTTCATTATGTCTTGGATCATTTCTTTTAACCTGGTGACAACTTAGAAATTCAGCCTGTTCACATCATATTCTGCAAAAATGGGTCGCACCTGTCGGTCCCTGCTGTAACTGAGGTGTTTACATCTGTGACCTTACCTGTGATGCTAGTGGTCACTTAGGACTTGCCTACTACAGAGTCCCTGCTGGGACTCTTTACTGTTGGGCAAAACTTTCTAGACCCCCTTGGTCCAAACTGACCCACAGTAAAAGTTTCAGCATGCTCTCCACTGCGTGCCAATTTGCATATACCTTAGTACACCTTCATTTCCTACTGTGTGTAGACAGTGGGGCATACAAGTGATAGATTAAGTGCCTGCCTGGCAAGTGTAAGGTCTCAAGTTCTATCCCCAGTACTACCCCTCAAAAAAAAAAAAAAAAAAAAGAAAGAAAGAAAGAAAGAAAAGAAAAAGAAATCACCTATGCCAATATGAAATATTTGTGTTAACATTTACACTACTGGGGCCTGGTGAGATGGCTCAGTGGTCTAAAGCACCTACTTAGAACAAGCTTAGCAAGGCACAGGGACCGCGGTTCAATCCCCCAGCACCACATGCCAGCCAGCCCCGCCCCCTGGTGGG